AATGTTAAGTGGAACAAGGTTTGAGAAAAAGGAACTATTGAACAAAATAAAAAATTCTTATTCCACTGACTAAAGGAAAAGAATACAAGTTTATACACTAACCAAAAAACTAAAGGCATCAGCTTTACAAAATTTCATTTAACACATTTTTAATGTGTAGTATATCCTTAAGCAAAAAAAAAAGTAATATCTTTAATTTTATTCTAAAACAAATTCAGTATTTTTTTTTTTTTAAAGGGATTTTAGTGCCCAAACATATTTTGTAAACACACGCACAAAACGTCATTTAATAAGCTTTATCACGCTAGTTACAGTCACGAAAGCACGCCATAACAATTATCAATTTTACATCAAGTACCTTTTAGCATTATTTGACCTATTTGTTTAGACTTAAAAAAGAGTAACTTCAAAATAAATAATTTATTTTTAAGAGATTCTTATATAAATAGTTTGTTTTGATTATAACTATAAAAAAATTAAGAAATTTCCTCTTTTTAATAAATACTTTAAAAAAAAAACTCAAAATTGTTTTTTTAAAAAATATTTTCCTATTAATTATCTAATATATTATTAAAATCGGTCAACTTTTTCACATCAAGTTACAGTGTAAGAGTATATAATTTATATCTAATTATAAAATTGATATTATAATTTATAAATACTAAACATATTATAATAACTCATAAGTATTAAAAATATTATAATAAATATTGTATTTATAATTATAAACAGTACAGTGCACTGACGAACTGTTCGTATATATTATTATTAAAATCATTTTAAAAACAATAATTATTAAAAAATTAAAATAATAACAAAGATAATATAAATAACTCTTTTTATATCATAATATATAAATAATAACAATAAAATATAAATATTATAATAGATATTATAAATAATAAAAAATCATTCATAGTTAAAAAAATAAAAATATAATATAAAAGTTATAATAAAAAAGATTCATGAATTAATAAAAAGACATTGACATACATATATTATTGGTGGGAAAGTATAGTGTTTTTATGTAAAAAAAGGTATAGTATTTTTCTTTAATAAAGATAAAAAAAATTTCAATATTATAATCTTAAGAAAAATAAAATATTTGTTTAATTTTTATATATTTTTAATTGTTCAAAAACATCTCATGTTAAGCGGATAAAAAAACTTCATTTTAATTCTAAATAATCCTGATTATATTATAAGAAACTAAATTTGTACATTTTAAATTAAAAAGAGACTCTAAAAAATAAAATAAAAATTACAAACAGACTTTGCATAATAACTCAAAAACTAAAAATACGATGGCCAAACTATTACTTATATTTTAGAAATATTTTAAGAAATCGATAAAAACAAATAACCATTTCTTAAAAAAAATAAAAATAAAATAAAGTAGATTAAATTGTATTAATCTAATCCCAAGCGTGTGGTTCAGCGGTAGGGGTTGATCCACGCTTAAGCAAGGTCAGAGGTTCGAATCCTGCTTTGTGTATGCAGCCGCGTTAAATCTTGGGGCCAGCTATCCCACCTTTTGAGGTGTCTCCAACGTAGCGAGGAGATTAGTCACTGCTGTCGGCCCTGAATACTCCAGGGACGAACCAAAAAAAAAAATTGTATTAATCTTACATTCAGTCAGCTAATGACATTCCTCGTAACATTAATAAGCACATTTATGGTTCAAAACGAAATCACTGTTTAAAAGTCAAATAATTATTATAACTTTAAAATAAAAAAATGCTTAAATACATTTCTTACAAAATAAACATATTTTGATTTTGATTCTTATAAAAAAAATTATTTATTTTTTATTTTTATAAAACTTAAAACTATTATTTTAATCTTCATTATTATATAATAATTTTTAACTCATTATGAGTTCATTATAAGATTATGTGACATTTTTAGGTGATATGTATAATTGTATATAATATTTTATTTTTTATGTGTCATATTTAAAAAAAATTTATAAATCTTTAAAATAAGTGTTATATATATATATATATATCTTAAAATAGTCATTTTGCAATCCTATGTACTATTAATATTAACATAAAAATCAAATATAATTTTAAAAAAAATATGAGTATTTTGCTTAAATTAAAAACAACGTATGTTTATAAAAGAAAATCAATATTACAAAAATTAAAATTTATTGATATATATATATATATATATATATATATATAAATTAGGATTTTGATTTTCACTTTTCAATAAGGAATTTTTACTTCTTAATATCATAATCTTTTGATTACTTTGTTTATTTAACTCTAAAAAGGACATTAACTTAAATTTTAGTTTCCATTTGTTAATACCTTATTATTAATAAACTAATTACAATTCTTTTGATGTAATGTCGGTTACTTTTCGTTTTAACACCCCATCTTTTTGCTTTTAATACGATTTTTGTCTGTACAATGCATAAAATATTTATTATACATAATTAAAATTAGGCTAAAACTCTATTTTGGTCCCTTATAATCTTTTTTGTTTCAATTTAGTCCTTCATTAATTTTTGGTCTCAAATTGGTCCCAAATTAATTAATTGGTTTCAATTTAGTCCCAAATTAATTAATTAGTTTCAATGTGGGACTTCCGTCCAAATTATTTAAACGGAGTTAACTTTTGGCCAAGTGGATGTCGCGTAGATGCATACGTGGCATCCACGTGGATGAAAAAATTCTTTTTAATACACCTGGACCCAGAACGACCCGTTCTGAAACCGGAACGGGCCGTTCTGGTTGCAAAATTAAAACACTACCAGTGAAGCAGAACGGGCCGTTCTGAAATCAGAACGGGCCGTTCTGCTTTCAAAACGGCCCGTTCCAGAACTGTGAATAAAATATTCTTTACTTAATTGTGTTTTTGATATTATAATTATGCAATTTTGATCTCTAAGGTTTTAGTTGAGTAATTTCAGTCCTTAAAAGATTATAATTGTGTAATTTTAGTCTCACAATTTTTAATTGAACAATTTTAATCTCTCAAATATCATAATTGTGGAATTTAAATCTTGAAGATCACAAAACTGCACAATTGTAATACTTGAGGGATAAAAAATGCAATTAAACCAATATTCTTAATTAATTTTATTAAAAAATATAATAATTAATAAGATAAAAGAAATATCACTTTATAATTTTTTGCAACTTATTTAAGATTAAAGGAATAAAATGATAAAAATTAATAAGATAAACATAATAAAATAAAATATAAAAAAAATATTAATATATTTATTTTATTGGATATAATAACATAATTAAAATATAATTAATAATATATATTTTATAAAATTATTAATATTTTATATATAAAAAAAATAAAATAAAACCGGAACGGCCCATTCTGAAACTGGAACGGGCCGTTCTGGTGCATTTTGCGTGTGTTAATTTTGCACTTGGAACGGATCATTCCGGATGCAAAATTAACACACCAAAAGTGAACCCAGAACGGCCCGTTCCGGTTTTAGAACGGGCCGTTCTGGGTCCAGGTGTTTTCAAAAAAATTCTCATCCACGTGGATGCCACGTATGCATCTACGTGGCGTCCACGTGGCCAAAAGTTAACACCGTTAAAGCAATTTGGACGGAAAGTCCCACATTGAAACCAATTAATTAATTTAGGACTAAATTGAAACCAATTAATTAGTTTGGGACCAAATTGAGACCAAAAATTAATGAGGGATTAAATTGAAACAAAAAAAAATTATAAGGGACTAAAATAGGGTTTTAGCCTTAAAATTATAATAAAATATATATGAAAATAAATAATGTGTTTAAATATCTAAATTATATTCAAATTTAGTATAAATATTTTAAAATATATAAGGTATATTTTAGATTTATAATAAATAATTTATATTATAATAAAAAATTTATATATTGATATTTTATTTTAAAATATTAATATTTAATTTATAAAATAATCATGATAGAGAGGATTCAAGCGATAATTATGTAAATTTTACTAATTATTACATCGTTAATAACTTTATATTAAATATAAATTTTTTAAAATTTGTTATTAGATCCAAAAAATTTTACTTCAAGATCATATATACAAATAATTATATTAATGAAAGAATTTAATATCTCATTCTTATAAATCAAAATTAACACAATATATTTATTTCAAAATATATAAAAATATGAATTCTTTAATTATCTTTAAATTTTTGTTTAATTTTAAGAAAATTTGATATAAACATACAAGATGATATGAAGTTATAATTTAATATTTAAATCGACAAAATTTATATTTAATATAATGTTATTTAGTGCTGTAATAATTATTAAAAATTACATTAAACCTTTTCATATGATATATAAAAATCAAATTAAATAAGAAGATAAAAATTCTTATAAACTTTCTCCACTCTCATAAAGAAAAATTCATAAAAAAAAACTCAAAAAAAATAGAAATTTATGTTTAAATATAAATTTCTCCATTAATAATATATATAAATATTATCTTATCCGGTTGTTATTATCATTTGGATTAAAAAAAAAAAAGGTAAAGATGATACTTATATCACCTTAAAATGAAAAATATATATTACATTAACATGATGGAATAAGATAAGAAATACAATACTATTGTTTTTCTATTCAAAGAAACTACTAAAAATCACAATATATTTTTAGTCTCGGTAATATATCAGATGTTTTTTTATATATTTTTTTCAAAGCCATCGTTGTAAATTAGTTTTTATTTAATCTTTATTGTTTTCTTTTAGTCTTCAAATAACTTTTTTTTTTTTATCTTCTCAATATGTAAATAATTTGATTTTTAATCTTTATTCAAAAGGACCGATTCAAAATGATGAAATCATATAGATTAATAAAATATAAATAAATAAATTTATTCTAAGACTAAAAAAATATTATAAACATGAAAATAAAATATAAAAAAGGGAAGAAAGAAAGTGGATATAGCATGAGGGAGTATGAGGACACGTGGATTGTGAGGTGGTGTCAGGTGTGGAAGGTTTTGGAATGCAATGAAGAATTCCAGAAAAGTCTAGACCCCACTCCATAAATACTCCTTCCATGCCTTTTTCACCCAAACTTCACCATCCTCTTCTTCCTCGCTCATTCTTCGTTTCCTTCATTCGATTCCTTATGGCGTTGCACAAGTTCTTGAAGAGGAAAGGACCCGTCGACCAAGTTAACCACGATTTCCCTCTCGCTTCACCTGCCACCAAGATTCGCCGTCTCGTTAGTACTTCCTCTCTCAATTCTTCGCCATCAACAACTAACAAACCTTCTTTACTAACCGATTCCGTTTCTCACCGTTTCAGGACGCCGATTTGCCGCCAATTGTGGAAGAGGAGGAATCGTCGCCGTTACCGTTACCTAACGAGGAGAGAGCTCTCGTGCTCTTCAAACCCTTACTTCATTCCCCTTCCTCTTACTCTCTCACCCTCGATCCTCACCTCATCTCTGGAATTAGGAATAGTAAGTCTTCTCTTCCTTTAATTTAGCTTTATCAACTTGTTTATTCGGTGAATCTGTTATTCGTCGATCCGTTAGCAGCTGCATGTAATGTGCCACAGCGTTCATTGTAACGCTAGAGACTAATTGTGTGTTTTGGATTAATTTTTAATTCTGTCAAATATATTGAACAACAAAACAACAAATAGATGCTTCATCTTTTTCGATTTTTCACCTTGAATTTTAGGTCATAATTGATTCTAGGAGGTATCTAAATCACTATAGATTGAACGACGATACTTAATTTAGGATTTATTTGCCATTTTGTTTAATTTTAAGATCAGCATCCTGCAATTCCTGGCAATTAAACGATAGCGTTCTAATTGATAATAAATCAAATGATCATTGCAGATCAATTTTTGTGGTCCAAACAATGTGATCACGTGACAGGGTCACAATCACGTGAGAAAGATAATGATGAATTGGCTCTTGTGCCTTGGGTGCCCTCACCTTCTTACAAGTTTTCTAACGCTGATGATTCTGACAACAGCGCCAATGCTGAGTTGATGGAAGCTGATGAAGTAGAAGAAGGAGAAGGTGCTGCTTCTATGATGATGGATATTGAACAAGAAAATGAGGCCAAAACTTCAACATCAACCATTCAGTACCCTGGAATAACAGAGGGGTTTCAGCAACACTGCTTGCTACCCCAGCTTCCTCACACCACCTCAACTCCAATTACTTGGACCCGCTGAAAATTGTTTATCATATATACCACTATTTTCTTTGCTGTTAAGCGAGCTTTTCTCCTATTTAGGACGCTAGACTAGACTAGACTAAACCACTTGGGTTTGCTTTTGCGGGATGGGAATCTCTCTCTTCTCGTGGTAGTGTAACAAAGAAAAGGAATTAATGTGTATAATGCCTTTTTTGTCGCTATCTCTGAATTGCGTTTCTACTGCAAAGGAATCATTGGATAATGAACTGTGTTTTGTTGAGTGTGTGAATGGAGGATGACAGGGTACTCTGACTGAAATTATTAACAAAGATACTTTAGGCTTTGGAAAAAATATAATTATCAGCAATATTTTTGTTTTTGATATTTAGATTTATTGATTCCATTTAACTTTGAACAACTATCTCCTCACAGTACTTCCAAATGCAGCTATTACATATATCATCTCCATTATCCTTCACCCCTACTCCCATTCTAGTGGATTATTACTGCTACTTAAAGACATCAAAGTACAATAAATATCTGATTTAAGATTATAATTGTATGTACTAACCCTTTGCATAATTTAGATATAACTTTTATGATTTTGAAAGAATTATTAGTGCAAGAATTAAACTGAAATTGCAACTTCAAACTACAATTATGATTGAGTACTAGTTATTTGCATAATTTAGATATAACTTTTATGATTTTGAAATAATTATTAGTGAAAGAATTAAACTGAAATTACAACTTCAAATTACAACTATGATTAAATTTTTACTGTTAAGTATTAAATTGACTAATAGTGTGTAGTTTTTAAATTAAGGATCAAACTAAGGATACATGTCGAGTTTAAAAGATAAAATTAATTGATTTATTAATGATTAACTTACATTATTAATTTTAACAACAATATTAACATTAACATTCTTCAAAATGAGATTATTTATTAATTCAGAAATTAAATCAGCCAATACTCCTTCCATTTTAAAATGTCATTTTAGCAACAAAAAGAGAATTTATGAATTGTCATTTTTCATTAAAAAAGAATACTTAACCAAATTTTCCTCGACTCTTGTCTCGTACAACTCTAAACACACATGTTAGGTTATCAACCGGTTTTAGAAGACTTGGCTAAATAACCATACCTGGAGGAGCCTTAAGAACGGTGCAGATTGCAACAAAAATAAACTTTAATTTTCTTTTATTGACTCATCTATAAGAAACAATGAAAGAGGTTTTCCACACTCCAAATCAAATAATAATTCTGCTAAAAGCAGAATAAATAAAGGCAAAGCCATTCGGGATGCGTACAACTTCTGATAATCACAATATACTATCAGAGTAAGGAATCTCTTACTGGAGTGCACTAAATAAGTAAAAACATCAAAACCACAGCAAAAACCAAATGGCATAAAACTGATGGGCGACCCACATGGGTGCCGTTAAGATGACAAACAAAAAATGAGGACATTAAGTACATCAGTATTCCTGGGTTATGGCCACGATACTCTATTAGTCATAACTCTGCACTCTTTGTCCTTCACAAAGTCTGTATGGATGATGCATTCTGTATGTAGCATCTCTGACAGGGTCAAGCTTGAAGAGCAGAACCAAACTAATGATCAAGATCATTCTATACACTCTAGTCTCCAGAGACGTATTTTTTCTCTTCATAGTATCTCTGCTCACTCCTAGTTTTCTTAGCATTGCGTTTCTGCATCAGAGACAATAAGAGGAATAAGGCTGAAACATCTATCACAATTTTTAGAGGAAAAGCAAAAAAGGGAAAGAAAAGCTTCAATAGGGTAAACTTTGTAGTTAATCAAAAAATGCGAACTGATTAGACAATGAGCTTTTGATGATTTATTTTAAGTGCTAATTTCCAAATTTTGTTAAATTCTAACTAATAACCATTTAAAATCCCATTCAAATTATGTTCTTGAACAACAACAATCCGTAAATGCAAAGCAAACTACAATATGATATCAACACACGTGCATGCGCACACATAACCTTTCAAATGCTTCAGCGGCATGTGAATGACTCGAGCTTGTTCACATCGGATTCCATAAATTGGAGTACAATTTCAGGAATGTGAAATAGATATTTAATGAATCTTTAATTCGAGAGGCAAACAATGCAACTTGGGAAGGATTATAAAATTAACAGTGCCTAGACAAATTCCATATTGGCCTTATAATTAAAATAACGAATTAACAATCAACAATTTGTGAAGGTTGCTCAAATATTGAAAACACAAATGGAAAAAAAAAAATTGCGTAACAAGAAATTACCACGTAAGCTTCATGATTAGCCATTATTCTATGAGCTACGGTGGCAGTAGTAATATTTTTTGGGCTTTCAAGCAAGCGGAATATTCCGATGCTCTTTGGGACCTCATATGGATCGATTTCACACTGCATAATACAAGTTGTTCACTAATATGTCAATAAAAAACAGGAAACGATATTGAATCCCAAGTGAACTGCAAAAGTACGGGTGCACTTACATTTAATGACTTCTCAGCAACAGTACCATGCACAACTAATGAGATATCGAAAGTTGTGATCTGTTTGATTCCAAAAAATATACTTCATCATAATGACATATTCCAATGGATTCAAATTATGGTCAAAATGCTTCTGATGCAGAAATCAACTTGTTCCAAAAAAAAATAACCTCATGATAATGAAAACATCTAATTGGTTCGTATTATCTATAAGAAAAAATTATATTTTGCAATGTATATGTTCAACAACAATGCGATGGGAAAAGCTGGGGACGACATTTCATGAAATCACCAAGTATAATAAAAATTAAATCCTTCACTTGAGTACACAAGGTAAAAAAAAAGTTAATATTAGTCAATGCACCAAAAACAATTTCAAATAAAATGGTAAAGCTACTTAAATGAAATCCAGAAAATGTAGAATCAGAGACTTACCATGTCTTTTGTAATTTCCCAAGGTGAACCAATAATAACTTCATCGACATAACGGCAAGCTAACACGCTCAGGCTACGCTCATGCAGATGCATAATTGGATAGTGATTTCCTCTATGCTCACTGCAAATAAGTTGTTAGTTTCTTATCTGTAGTTTCACCATCACCTGGATAATACCTATGAAGTCAACTTCGCATGATAATAAACCATATACCTCACTGTCTCATCTGAGTGGATACCAACTAGAAGAAAATCTCCAAGCTCCCTAGCCCTCTTAAGTATCTGAGAGAACATGGAATAATAAATAAAACACAATTATAGCATAGCAAATACATAAAATGGTGCCTACCTGTTTGATCATGAACTTTAGCATTTAACTGAGAAGATGATAAATTACACCCAATATAAAACTTATCAGTGTACCTCAACATGGCCAGCATGGAAGAGATCAAATGCCCCATCAATGTATACAATACGTGCGTTTGGTCTAGGACCCTAAAATGAGATGGAGTGACAATGGATTATCGCATGAACAAGTTCAACTTGTAATGAAGACAAATTGTCACAAATTTAAAAGTATTGTTTGTTGCGTCAAGTAAAACCATATAAATCTTGGTATGATTTAGTGTAGCTCTTAAAGAAATAGCAAAAATATATCTAACTAAAAATTCACCAGAGAATAAGTAGGTTTCTAGAATTATGAACCAAATATACAGCATTCCTTTGAAAGAATAGGCATACCTTGCCATTTGAAAACTGCACAATACGTCGGGAAGTTGGAAGGAATTGGGATATGTGGGAAGCCTTTGAATGGTTTTTTTCTTGAGGTTTTACCTCGGTGCCATTATGATCTTCACAAATTTTTGGATCTCTTAAAGAAGTCATTATTCTTCCTGTAATACATATTATTAGCAAAACAATGGTTTATGGAAATCATTGGGGAGCGTCAAGAAGGTATCAATTATCAACATAAAGTATATTACCTACGATATCTGTACTGGAAACTCCTTCAGTACGTTTAATTTGCTTGTAGCGTCCAGCTTTCTTTGCTGCAGCATATGCATCTGTTCCATCTGGAAGCAGGCAAGGATCATCGCCATGTATGACATAGTCAATTTTGTATTCATGAAAGAGACGATTCAAGAATTTCTCAGTAATTGCATAAGGAGCATCAGTTATGACCTCATCCACCCACTTCAATCCACTGACAAGGGTCAGCCTGGAAGATAAACACATTATCAAATAAAAAGCTGACTTCCATAATTCAGTTCCCAGAATCACAAGTACAAGATAAAAGGTAAATATACATCACTTTAGAATCAAAGAGGCTATACCTCTCCTCCATGGACAAAACGGGTGGCCCTTTATTGGCCATGATCTCCTCATCACTCACAAGACCCACAACCAATTCATCTCCTAGAGCCTTTGCTTGCCTGAGTGCATTGGCATGACCATAATGCATCAGATCGAAACAGCCATCCATGTAAACCCGAATGCGCCTCTTCCCCGATTTCTTCTTGGGGAAAATCCCCAAATTAGACCAAAAACATGGCAGTGACAAAGAAGGAACCCCAATCCCACCAAAGTAGCTGCTTGACAACCCCAACAAGGCTGCTGTAACCATTAGACCCCCAAACACACGAGGGTAGTAGTTTACCCCCTCCCAAATCCAACTGTTGTTTTCATAATCCATGTTGTTATTTTTTTTCTTTCGTCTCAGACACTAGGTATTATCTTATATATCAGAGGAGGCACAGACCTGCAACCAACCATCATGGCAGAACTGAATCAATCAAATGCATTTTATTCTCTCCATAATCCTACCTAACTCTCAAGCTCAATTCCATCAAACATTGCTAGAAAAACTCAATGCTTCACAAATGCAAGTTGAATAGCCACCACAACGAAATTAAACAACCATTTACATGCAAATTAACAATTGGGACATTCACATGTTTCTGATCTAGCTAATAAAAAATATATTAAAAAAAAACGCAACTTTGCCGTAATAAAATTAAAAGTTAGAACGAATCTTCAACAGGGTATGCAGATTAATATGAGAGGGAAAAAAATATGCGTCCAATTTGAGAAATAACGCAAACCCACCTGAGATCCTGAAGAAGAAAAAAAGAGAGAGAGAGAATTGGGGAGTAAGCAAGTGCGGAAATGAAAAGGGTGAGAAGAAAACCGAGTTTGATTAGATGCAATTGCCGAAAGAGAAAAAGAAAACGAATATGGATGGCATAAACAAGAGATCGAATCCAAACCTTTTTTTTAATTACTTTTTGTTGCTTTTTCCGTTTCCTTTGTGTCTGTGTCTCCTCTCTCTCTCTCTCTCCTCCTTTGATTCGTATGGAGGAAAGCTCCTCGTAGTTTTTAGCTTTGCAACAATACTTTTGTCTGAAACAAAATAAGCGTCTCTTTATTGAAACATATATATATATATAAATATAAAAGTAAAGTGAAATAAATAGAATATCATAAATTTACTAGTCAATAATAAACGTGGAATAACTCTTAAACTCCCACGAATAGTAGTGATTATTATTAAAGTTGTTCTAGAATACCAGAAGAAATGAAAAATCCCGATTGAGGAATATCTGATTTGAGTATTTGTGTGTCCCACCACGAATGGACCCTCCTTCTTATGTGTGGTTCTGCCTTAACTCGTTGCGTCACTCTCTACATATATGGGGCAACACCATTTGCGTGTTGCTTCCGTGCTTGCCCTTCCCTTCTTCCATTCAATTTAATGCTTTCATCATACATTTTCAAACAAACATTCGCATATATCTACCACTCTCCACTCTAAACAAGTAAACATTCACATATTTATTTTATGTTCTTTAATTAAAATATAAGAAACTAAACAATATATTAATATTTATAATAAAAAAAAAGTTATGTAAAAATAATTGGTTTTCAAAAAATTACTTAAGGTTTTTTTTTTTTCTGGATTCAAGAAAAACAACATTTGAATAATACAAATTAAAAGAGTAATCAATAAGTTGAAAAAACTTAATTATAATGTTAACATATTAAATGACATATTAAATAACATGTCAATTAAATATATGTCTCTGTTTATTGTTAGTTAATAATAGAGAAGAATATGTACCAAGAGAATAACCATTTATTTATGTATGGTACTACAGTGGTAAATTTTGACACAAATAATCGGGAAAAATTTACATGTAATCAGATTGAATGATGTGATAAAATGAATGCTTATAATATTCCTCCTTTCCACAATGATACAAATTAAATATAACAATAAATGTATTATTTTTTTTTAATAAATTTTATCAAAATAATTCATTCTTTCAATATAAAAATATGTTACTTTTTAATTATTATAATATTGGATGATTTATGAAGAGACAAATTAATAAGAAGAAAAGAATAAATATCACATTAAAAATGAGGATGATATTTATTTTGAAATATTTTTTAAATGTTAAAATTATACTTATTATGTGATGAAGAGAGTAATTTTATTACTCGTTTTAATTTTTTGTTCTAGTTTAATTTCTTTAATTTAAAGAAATTCACTTTATTGTTTGAAAGTATTTCTATCATGTCAAATAGGATTTTATGTGAGTTTATTATTTTAATTTGATTAACTTGATAATATATGGCAAATTGTGATAGATATCATACCGGTCAATATTAATATTATTAGTAAAAAGTAACAAAATGATCTTTTAATTTGTCAGAGAAATGTTAAGGATTGACTAAAAAGTTTTAAATTTAATTTGTGTTTGATTATCTGTGGATGCCTTGCCAAATTGGGAACAATGAAGGCTGAAGCTTTGAGGATTCTTAATAGACCACCCACGGGTGTGAACCATTTTCTTAGTGCATGTTTTGAGCTCTGTTCAAAATCGATTTAATTTAAACGACAATTTTAAAATTGATAGAAAATTATAAACTAGTTTTTTATGTGATTTTTTTTTTTATTTTTTCTTAATCGCATTACCCGGATAAAAAAAATATTTTAAAAGATTTAGAAGTCTAAAAACTTATTAAATTTAAAAAGAATATGTGGGGTTTACAGATAAACTTTAAAAGATAAAAATAGAAAAAATAATAATAATTTAAATATATTTTTAGTTCATGTAGAATAAGTAAGTTTTAATTTTAGTGTTTGTAATTTTTTTTTGTTTTTTATCCTTTTAAAATTTGTAAATATGATTCCTATAAAATGGAAAAAAATTGGTTTTGACTTTGTAAAATATATATTTTTATGTTCATCTTTCTAAAATTTAAAATTTGTCAATTTTTGTCTTTAATAACCATTTAAAGTATATATATAACATTTATTTTAAGAGTTTATAAAAAATTTAGAAATATCACTAAAGGTAAAGTATAATAACTAATTGTGAATATCACCTAAAATAATCAATAACTTTCTAATAAAAATATAAGTAATTGATAAAAGTTATATTGTGACAGACAGAGATTAAAAAATAGTTTTAATTTTTAAAAGAATAAAAAATAACTATTTTTTTTTACAAGAATTAAAATCAAAGTAAGGTCAACTGAACTCTAAGGTCAACAAAGCCTTTACTTTAAGTTATCTTAAAAAAAAGTACATCAATGTTAAGTAAAATAATAATAATAATATATGATATTTATAAGTGAGTTTTTGTTTGATGAAAACACATATATACACACACTACCTTTGTCAAAAAAAAAAAATATATATATATATATACATATATATATATATATGTATATATATATATATAATTATTATCACTTTTTTACTTGTTTTTGTTATAAGATTATCTAGTTATTGTTAGCTGTATTAATTATATCATCTCTAAAATATTTGTATTTGATTAAAAATTATTTTAGATAAAAGATAATAAATAATTGAAATTAATTAGATAAAAATTTCTTTTTCTTATTAAGATTAAAGAAGATAAATGGATATATAATTTTTTTTAAAATATTAATTAATTAGATGAAAAATAATTAAGTGAAAAGAGAGAAAATTATTTTAAGAGACGCTATTATAATTTTGATAGATAATTTTTTTTTTAAACAATTCAAAGATATTTAAAATCTTTAATAAAAAATTTGAAATCTTAACTTAGTATCAATTGTACATGATATTTAGTGGTACAATTAAAATATTTAATAGCATATTAATTGGTTTTTTTTTTCATATACAATGCAACAATAATAAAAATTAAACTTATAATATTGTGTCAATCATGGATTTGTCATTATTTGATTTACCCGAAACTAAAGTTAATAACATGTTAATAATGTAAATGTTAATGCATGGTTTAGTAAATACATCTAATCAATTATACAAGAGAGACGATTAGTTGAATTGTTTAACTTATTACATAGGACTTTAGAACAAATTTAAATTTTATTGTATTTAATATTATTTGATATGAACTTATACTCAAAAATGAGATTGACGATATGTAATTTCCCCTAAAACTCTAAAAACAAACGATAATAATTATAATCGTACATGAGTTCGTGTTTTATTGTAATTGAAACTTGTTAATAAAAAAATATTACACGTAATGATGTTTTCTTTGTGTTTGATTTGATATGAATGTTGTGACATCCCCGGGACTGAAGGTGGGATAATAAATAAGAATGTTAGTTGTCTAAGATTGAGAACATATTTGATGACATCATTAATAGCTTTGACAGCACGCATCAATCAAACTGTTCATTCCATACGTACCATTCAACTTATTTAATCACAAGAATCACTGTAGCCCATGGAGCCATCAAATCATATTTCTTTTCACAAATATTTGTGATAATAATATTTATACATTTTGTTTTCTTACATATATATTAAAGTGTGTTGGGATACAAACAAGTCTCACATCGATAAAATAAAACAACAAATAATAACTTATATAATACAAACATACTTCAATGATTGAGAGGCCTTTTGGGTGATGACCAAAAGCAAAACCGTGAGAGCTAAGGCCCAAAACAGACAATATCTCATCATTGTGAAGTATGTTTGTGTAATAACACGATAAAATAACCCATCAGATTAAATATTTATCCTAAAGATATGAAATTTATGATGTGCTTGCGTTATTATCCTAATATTTATCTATTCTTACTACACTTAACTTTTTTTAGAGTATTTACTTTATTAACTAATAATAGGTATTATTAATTTTTACAAAGTTGTAGAGTGGTCTTGAATTTACATTGATATAAATTAATTTTAACTATCAAGTTTAAATAAAAGTAAATTATGAATAATTTCCGCATTCAAAAAAACTTCAATCGCGAGTATGCCTTATAATTTCCGAATTAAGAAAAATATGCGTTTTAGAAGGAAAATAAGCATCTAATTTTGTCATTTTTTGGCTAGTTTCAGAGTTCATGTTCACTTTGTCTTAGTCTAGCCATTGAATTATCTTAACATTTATTTTCGCTTAATATATTATTTGCATATTGATTCAAGTTGGAAAAAAATATATAAAGGCTACTTGAATAATAATTGTAATTTAGATAATTTAGTTATGTTTGAATGACTAAAATAATTTTAAATGATGAAATACTTTAATTTCAAATGTTAGGTTATGTTTAAATACTTTAATTTCATATTTTCTATACTTTTTCATTACATTTGAATTTTTTTATACTATTTTAATAATATATTTTTATTTAAATTTTTAGATAAAATAATTTTTATTTTTATTTTTAAAAAATAAACATCTACCTATTTGTTTAAAGAAAACTAATTATATCGAGTCAAATCAACCCATTATTGATTGGTTTGATTTTGTTCGGATCATAAAATATCTTTAGATAAATCCAATCAAAATTGATTTATTCAAATATTAGTTTATCCCAAATAACTAAATCATAACACTCCTATTAAAATTAATTTATAATTATTATAACTTCATTATGTAGTATAAATCCAAATTTAAAATTAATATTTAATGAAGGGCACTCCAAGTAATAAAAAATATAAATAAATCATTATAAATTATTATTTATATAATTTTAAAGTAATTATTATTGTACCTGTTTGAAGGGCACACTAGTAATCTTCTCGTACTCTGAGGGCCGAACAAGAGCTCCAAACGAATATTCTGGTGAAAGAGAGGGTACCTGCAAAAGGCACTCCAATGCTTAAGTCAGTCATCGATCTCAGAGATATCACTGCTAATCAAACTGGTAATTATGAAAACGTACATCTCTTTGTCACTAGTCATACTTATTTATACTAACCTTGATGGGCCAGACCCATATGCAGGCCCATAAGAGGATCCATTAATGATACGAGAAGTCTTCAATGTGATCGCGAGGAGTTATAGATCCTTCTAAAGTGCTTTCCCTAATATTCATACCATTATCCGGTAGAAAAATAATAAACTGATTTCCCAAACACT